TTTGTATTATATACATGAATAATAAATAGTCGAAGATAGTTTCACATCAAATCCTTCATTATATTCATTAAAATAAATTGTCCTATTAATTGGTTATCAAATAAAAAAAATTCTCATTAAAATTCGTGAAAGTGATAACATTAATTAAATAAGAATTTGGGTATAAATTAAATAATATTTTAAACACAAACATTTCAATTGTTATTTAAAGAAATTGACTAAATTTTATAGTATCATATGAATATTTAATCTGTAAAGCACTGAGAGTCTCAATTAAGATGTATTTATAGATATATATATATATATATATAATATATAGATACATTAATTAGGTCGTTAATACAATGGAATTATAATTTAAATTAAGAAAATATTGGTTTATTTATAAAACATTTTATTAACATTCTATTATTAAAAATTAATTTTTCAAGATTCGAAACAACATTTACATATTTTTGTTTGAACGTAGATAAATGGCTCAATTGCTGAATGCTAAAAAATATTTCGAACTAAAAGCATTAAAATTATTTTCCACGGTTATATTAAAAATTTTAATATGATTTGTAAAAGAATTTGAAGATAGATATAAGTATTATAGTTCTCTTGTAAAATTTATTAATATTTAAACAAAACATTAATATATCCTTGGAGATAATACATTTTTTCGAGTTTTTGCGAGTGGAAAATTATCACAATATGAACGTTGCGCTTAAAAAACTCATCACTCATCAATTACTATCACTTATCAAATTTAATATGTTTCAATGCTGGAAACATGTTCCTATTGGATGCGTAACTAACGATGAAATGTACTTTTCCAACGGACAACGAGACTCGAAATTAGTGGATTACTTGCAACAATACACTTTAATAAGCGTTATATATATGACCTTAATGCCTGGGTAATGCAAAGTCGCAATGGGTTCACGAGCTGCAGTTACTAGTGCTAGAGATTTGTTTTTAGGTAGTATTATAACGATCGTGTAATGACGAGGTCGCGGCGAACAAGTCAAATACGCATTTTATTAAAATTTCTTCCGAAGCTTAGATTTGCCAATAGTAAACAGCTTATAAAAAGATATATTTATTTTAATTTTATATGAATGTCGATAGAAACATTAGTTTTGTATTTATATTTTAGGTAAACTGTGTTTACGTGACTTTTTAAACTCGATGTCTTCTGTGTTAAGCAAATTTAATTCTTTTCAGAAATCGTTGTACGAATAAATCGAGTATTGGCAGTTTTAATGACTTAATATATAAATAATTTTCATTAATATTTGTTAATCTTATAAAAATAATTTAGTATTTACAACTGTCAATACTCGTACCAAAATTATATATATATATATATATATATATATATATATATATTTATGTATAAACATTGCAAAAATTTAAACGATATTTTACGTTAAATCAAAATTCTTGGTTTTATAATAAAAATTATATATGTATATACATGAGATTGTCATTGCATATATTTTTAATTATTTTTGATTTTATAAACATTGTATAAATATTGTAAAATTTTCATAAATTACACTCGCTCAAGTCCAAACAAGAAGGTAAACACGTTCACACACGTTACATTTTTTTTATTTACAGATAAATTTTATTCTTCTTTGAATTCCTTCAAATATTTACGAGACTTCATTACAACCAATCAATAAAGTGTATTTCAAGCAGCTGATGTGCCGTGACGTCATTTTTACTGGCTTGTCATCGGTGAATTTCTAACCTTATAAACGGACATACTAAGTGTGAAGTAGTCAAAAAATTTATCACTCTCCGTAAAGACAAACCGTTTATATATTATCAATAAAGCGGATAAAATGAAGAAGTACAGGGTTTCAAGATTAGAATTTTTGAAATAGATATTTCAGTTATTGGTATGTATGCAAAAATGAATAATTGTATATGTAGTTTTGCATAACTAAGCAAAATTCATTATATACGTTATTTATTTGGATGACTTCTATTAAAAGAAATTACTACATTTTTTTTCCATAGTTAATATTGTAAAGGAAAGCAGCCAATCATGTGATACATATATGTAATTCTGTTACACCATGTTTTCACCTCTATGATCAAATAGTAAACATAAGAAATCAAATTATTAAATAGTATTTTTTTATTATTCTTTATTTTTGTCATTGTGCATTTGTAGGCTTTCATTAAATACAAGCATGATAAAGCATGATTAAAGTAACCTTGTGTTATTTATATACGTATTTTTATCTTTTTATTTAAATATGCATTGATATTTATTTGTGTGTGTATATATATATATATATATATATATATACATTATTATAGTTTGTTTGGTAAAAAGTTCATTAAATCCAAGTTATCATTGTAATTAACTTTAACCTCCATTATTATAAATAAAAATAATTTTTATTGTTTTTTTTTTATGACTAATAATTACGTATTACATTTTTTAATTTGCATTATTGAAGTATTTTTATGTTTTTTTATATCTTACTATAAATAACAGCCAAATGTTTACGTTAAACTATTCTATAATTACTTAATTATCTTTAATTTATTGTGAAAAAAATGTGTTTTATTAATTTTATATACATTAAGATGTTCACTAAAAGACTTTATTGATAGAATTAACGAAACATAAAAAATAGTTTTTAACAAACATAATAATGGCAATACTTATACATTAGTCACTCGAAAATGTAAACTAGATGATTTAGTATAATATTTGATTATAAGGTATTATAAGGTATGTGCATATTTGATAATATATACATACATATGAAATGTTAGCATATACTACGTATGATGTAATATTAAAATTGTATATATTTAATAGAAGCAATATATTAATCTAATACTATTCTGATAATAATTTATAGGTCAATTTGATTCTAAAATTATAGGAATGCCCTTCGATTATGTTTTATTGAACGTTGACTAGTATAAAATAAGAAGAAAATAATTTAACAAGATAAATATGTAAAAGAAACTTATAAACATTGTAATAATATAAAAGATGGATTATTAATGTTTGCAAAGTCAGATAAATTTTCACAAAAGAATAATATACTTTAGCGCTTATACATAAACTTGTAGTACAAAGAACCATTTGGTATTGCTTATTCATGAATATTTAAATTTCTTATTTAACTAGAGATATAAATTGCATTTTGATTAAATTCTCAAGTTTAATACATTAAAATATTTAAATTAAGTTTTAAGTTATTGTTTGGATCAGAAAAATGAGCTTCAATTATTTTGAAACAAGATAATATGTAAGAGTACCTGAGATCATAATTGTAATTCAAAATGTTGCTTGACATTCCAAAATTTTAATAATGAAAATGAAATCATTGATGATAGTATTGCATCTGCTAAGAATGATGCATCATAATGTTGAATTGTACAAAACGTTGTGAATGTAATTTTATTATGAACTTTAAGATGATATATGAATTGAAGGTAAACTTTAAAGCAAATTAAAATTAATTATTACTATTAACAATGATAATCCACGTAGAATTCTCATAGTTTGTGAAATTTGATTCATTTAGAAGTATAGAAACAATTTTCTTTTAATATTTAAATACGAGTTGAATGAATATAAAATTTATTATTAAATTGACACAATTTAACGAAGTTACCTTTAGATGCTTAAAACACCTCGTGGCTAAAATTACAAAATGCAGCAAGCGATATAGAAAAACATTTTCAAATTAAATAGAAAAGTGAATAATATTTTAATAGAAAATGTTTGGTATGTTGAGCGCAAAATTTTCAATAAAATTTTCAATTTATTCAGAATATTAAAGAAATTTTTTAAACGTAAAAAGAATAATATATCAGTGAGTATGATCAATTTTTTTTAACATCCTAACCATTTATAAAAATCAAAATTATATTTCAGAAAGCTTCTTTTTTTATTTCCTTATTTTTAAGGCTGTAATTGATAAATATTTTTAGTTACATATAAAAATTACGTTCATTTTTTCTATTTTCTAAATGTACTTAAATTAACTTATTAGTTGTTGGATTAACTACACCGATACATTAGTAATTTTAATTAGCAATTGTTTGTATTTCATCGTTAGAAAATTTTCCAATTATAATGTTACTTACTCATTAACCCTCCTTATAAGTATTCATCTCTTTTTAAATTTTATTTTTACATAGAGTTCTACGAGCAATTTTATATCATTTAACAAATTTTTTTCTTCTATTACTTGTGAACATGCTTTTCAAATATTAATCTTTGTTATTGGTTCCGAACTACGATGCTATTAACTGGTGCTGTGTCAAAAGATTTACACAAGTTGTCTTATTTATTATTACGTTAAAATTGATAATCATTTACATGTCATTAAATCGCAAAAGTGTCCTACATGTTTAATCTTGTTGATCTTACTTATGACTTAGATATATCATTGCAATTTAAAACGTCTGATGGACGAGGTAATGAGCTCTTATCACAATTTTTTTTTCTTTTCGCATGTATATTTACGATAAACTGACTAAATATTCTTTTTATCTTAGCTCTGCCATTGGACGAAGATTTTTTATTATTATATTACCATCTTATTAAAATAATTTTACAGATTTAAATTTATCATATATAAGACTCTTGAATTTTTAAAAAATTTTCTGGGTCTGAAACACTGTGAATAATTATCCATCCAAAACTTTTAAGCAGTTAAAACGAGATAATGTCTTTAATCAACATTGGTTAAATTTTGCTGTCTTTGTAGTGTTATTAACAAATAAAATTTTTAAGTTAAGATTATTCATAAGTTTATTTTGAAATGTAAAATATTTGTGGAAATATATGTAATTTTTTTACATTATTTTATTGTAATTATTAAAAAAATACAAAATAAACTATCGTACCTTTTAAATAATATTTGAATATAAGAATATGTTTTAAAGATAAATATTTATATTTTAATTGGCGATCTTTCGTTTTATGAAAAATATATATTTGCTTATAACTTTCCTTTTAGCTAAATTAAATTTACGTTATTTGAAAGTATTCTTGATAAATGCGACTCCACCTTATCTCTATAACACAACACTTTCAACCATTTCCACTGATATCAAATAGCTTTGTAAGAATGAAAATTTCTGTTGCATGCTCGTCATTCAGTAGCGAATACACATCGGTTTAACTAGTCTTAAAAAATTAAACCTATGTATTCACATACAATATAAATCATTTTCATTGCATTTCAGCAAATCATAAAATATATTATTATAACAAAACGACGCATTTTTGCTATCGATAAAGAAGCTGCATACTTTTAGTCTTTATGTTATTCTAAAGATAATTTACTATAAATACAAGTCATCAAGGGACAAATTATCATCTTTATTATATATATCATTATGAGTCACAGCAATCGAGTATTATTTGGTAAGTAGATTTTTACATAAACCAAATTTTTCTATTTACGCAATTATGAGATGATTTTAATCTGACATAAACAAGATTTCTTTTTAAGTCCTTTATGTATAGACAAATTTATTATTTGCTAATATTGTCTAAATATATATTATATTAATATAATGAATAGTAGCGCGGATTTGCTTTTAAAATTATAATGCACGATTTCGGACAATTATGGTTCACTTTATATTTGTCCTTCTAGTTCAAGTATTTAAAGTATGTTTTGAAATAATTGATCTATTCAAATTTATTGAATTATTAATAGTCATCAAAAATATGGAATATGCAAAATTTTATACAATTTTCTCTCATAATTAATTCAACGTTTCTTACGTCAAAAGGAAAATCGTTATTGACATAAGAACCATATGATAACATAAACTCAATAATCTTGTAGGTAATAAAATATTTCACATAATATAAGAAAAATATTTTAAATATTAAAAAATATTTGTACTTACTTATTAATAATTGACATTGATAAATCGCTTTCTAATTTCATAGTAAGTATAATAATTGTTTATGAGATATCAAAAATAATGTCAATAAATACATTTCAATCGATCATAGATTACATGAACATTTAGAATATGAAGTTTCCAAAATACTTATAAAAAACTATATGCATTTATTAAAAATTTTATTTATATTATAATATTTGTGGCAGTATATGCATAATAATTTCAAAATAATTCAAATTGAGCAGCAGTTACGTTTCATTATATTTTCATTAAAATGTTATAATTAAAAATATAAATAATATATTAATAATAAGTTAATTTTACATTTTTCCATAAAAGAAAGTATATATTAGCGTAATATAAAATATCCCTAGAAATAATAAAATAACTATAAATACAGAATTACATTATTTAAAATTTATCTTCTAGGCTTTTTATAATTGTAAAATAATAGAGGAAATATCTAGATTAAGAGTTCACGAAACAGACAACGAGTGTAGACCATCTATTCTATTCGAATTAAAATTAATGTGGAAGTAATTTTATTAAAGCAAATTATTGATCTATTTTATACATATGCTTGTTATTAATTTATGCATAAAGTAGGAAACAAATTTTCTAATGGAGCTCGAATACATAATTTAATAAATAATATATAATTTTCAATGTTACATAAAACTGAAATAATTAATTGTATTAAGTGCTTTTTTTTATATATATTTAAATATAATTATATAAAATAGTAAATTTCGCTCGATAAAAGATGAACTTTTATATTATTAAATTTTCCAATTTATTAATTTATTATTATTGAAATATTTAGTGCTTAAAATAATATATTAACCAACTTTATTCGGTATTTTATTTGTTAGATGAAGATTCTCTCTCAGTAATGACGCTAAATAAGCTTCTCGTTATTTTATATTCCAAATAGGAGTATAACTTTATTTGTGTATATTTGCATATATGTTATTCAGCTCTATGGTGAAGCTCACTATGGCTATAGTTAACAAATTATCAATTAATATTTAAATAAACCATTAATTTTATGATGATAATAATATATTAATAATCTATAAGTTAATATTTAATAAACTGTACGCGAAAATTTTGAACAATTATTTTTGCAAACAAGTAAGTTTATTCTATATTCTCGAATAACTAAGTCTCAAAATAAATAGTGAATTGAATATAATAGGTTATATATATATATATATATATATATATATACATACAAATATCCTGTAATATATGTTCATTTAATCTAATTACAGAGTATTTTATTACATTTTCATACGTGTTGCGCATAGAATTTAGAGTTACTGAATAGTTAATAACTACTTTTTTAATCAATATTTTGTTCAATGTTTAGCATTAGAATGACTCTTTAAAGTTACGTTTATTAGCTACAGTGCTAGATATGTATTTAAAAATTTTTAAATCAAATATTTATTATGTTCATGTTTTAATTAAATATAAAGGTGCTTGAATTCGCAACTATTTTACAGTAATTAAACTATTTATTATCGTATGATACTATTTTTTAATTTACTTTTCATCTAAGTTAATTTTAACTTTCATCATTATAATTCAATTAAATTCATTGATGCAGTTTTGCAGTAAATTATTATCGCCGGAGTCTTTCAATATAAGTTTGATAATTGTCAATCGAATATCAATACTTTAAATGATAACAGACCTCATTACTTCAAGAGTGTTATTCAAAATGGCTTGGATATTTATTGTGATATTTTTGAAATCTTGTAATTATAGAACACGTGAAATAAAATGTTTAGCTTTTAATTTTATTAGAAAATGATTTAATTTGAATAATAAGGCTCTAAATGGAAGTAAATTTTTTTTTATGTAAAATACCATCAAATTGAAAGTAAACAATATGCAGACCACAATGTATGAGTAATCCTACATGGAACAAATAATAGGTTATTAGTTTACTAAATGATGAATTAAATAAGTATATCATTTCAAAACGGAGATAGATAAAACAATAAATTTAATAAGGTAATAGATTACTATTTTAGGAATAATAATTGATAATTTTCTACCTCTGATCGTTAAAAGAATAGATATCAATCGATTAATATTAAGTATATATATGTAAAATTATATATGCATAATAAAATACACACACACAAACACACACCATTAATATATAAAATATACAACACTTGAAAAATGTAAATGAAATCATATAAAATATAAAACACAGAAATTACATTATACAAGAAAGAGCAAATTATGTAATAATTGCTACTATTTAAAACAATTACTGTTACATAAATACAGATTTCAATAATAATAAAATAAAAAATAATCATACCTCAAATATTATAATTTCTTCTTGATAGAATCTCTTTCTCTCTCTGTCTCTCTCTCTCTATATATATATATTTATCAATAAAGTTTATAAAATAATAAAATTCATGAATTATTGGAACATTCTTAAATGAAAATAAATTATATGTAATACTATAATTATGATAAAATAATACTACGTTTAGATAAAAAATAAAATGTAATGTTAAAATTTATTTAATAGAATATGTTAATGAGAATTTTAGAATTCATATCAAGTTTTTATCTTTATCATCTCTTCAATTTTTTCAGAAGCCTCTTCTTTTCATCAGTTTTATTTTTAAAAATCTATCAATTGGCCTATATGACAGTCGAGTAAGATGAACCGTCCTGTCTGCGATTACTATATTGTATATAAATATGTATTGGGTATCAAAAAACAATACCGATAGGACACATAATATAAAAAAATTTAATAGATAAAGATATGAAATGATTTTAGTTAATGAAATGTAAGAAAATAGCTAAATCTGATGAAAATAATCATGTTTTGTATGGAAAAATGTAAAAATGTAAAATTTTGAAATTAATGAGTAATAAATAAGAAATATATGGAAAATGAATTTTTGTTGAAGCGCAAAAATTCTTAAAATGTTTAAATTCTTCCGCAAATAATAAAAATTTATTTAGGAATTATTTGATTAATTAAAAATGTATTGAATATTTCGAAAGTTCAATTTAAAAATTCAAATTCAAATTCTTATAATTCTGATGTTTACTAATATGTTTACTAATAATGCATTATAATTAACTATAAATTAACCACAGATTATCAATAAATATTTAATTAGCAGAGAAAAAATTAATAATTTATTAATATATAAAAATGTTGAATTTTCTATGAAATTAATTTTTCCACGTAACATATTAAAAAGAAAAGACAAACATTAAAGACACTTACATATCTATATTATAAATTATTTCCATTTTATCATCAGTAAATTAGTAAATTATTTATTAAGAATAAGTAATCAGAATTGTGAATAAGAACTTTATAAGTGTTTTTTGAAAAAAATAATACCTCCATGAAAAATATCTTTCTTTCCTTTAATTAATAAGGCTACTTAAAATATAGGGAAGGACTAAAAAATTTTCACTTTTCAAAAATAATATAATTTCTTCTCGTTTTTCATTCGTACATTATTTATCATACATGAACTGTCAATGTGTAAAACAATAAAAAAAATATCCAAATTCCCTTATAACTACAGGCAATTTATTTCTTTAGTTATATTATTTTAATGAAATTGATGTAACTGTGCAGTATTCTTTTATGATATTTTTATGATATTTTATTCAAAATATTACACCAATTATTTTAATAGTAAAGAAATCTTAAGTTTTTATTTTAATACGAAATGCTTATATTATTAAAAACATTAAAAAGAGTTCATCAATTGCCAGTAATAAGATTTATTTATGTATTTCTTATCACAATAACTATATAATGCCTGCTTAACAGATACACGTATAGATTTATGGTAAAAATGGTAAGTAAAAGTATTCCAGTTAGTAATTAGCTATTTAATTTAATTTTTCCTAATGAAATATGAATTGATTGAATAAAACGCAAATTTAGTAGTTATTTTGTAATAATAATTGCACATAGCTTCATAAGACATTTAAAAATTATTCGAAATTAAATGTAAATTAATTCATAATATGAAATCTATTTAAAATAATGAAAATTCTCCTACGTATATTTTTCTTCATTTTTTAAAATTTAATATATTAAATTGCAAGAAATAAAACTATTTAACTTTTAAAAATTGCAATGAAATTCGATGCTAAGAATTATTAACATAAACTTAAGTATAAGTAAAAAAATTTTTCTTACTTATAAGTACATTAGAAATACTAACTTAAATTCTAAAAATTCAATAGCAGAATAACTGCAATATAAATATTATTATTCGAGCGATAAATTAAATAAATGTAATTTTTAACAATTTAATATTAATAATAATTTGAATAAAAGCTCCACTATCTTTTACAAAATTAGATAATATTTACATTTTCTATTTTCTCATCATTTTATAATTCATTGAATATAAATTTAATACAAATTCAATTTATATATTTAATTTAATTTTAAATGCATTTTTTAATTATTATTGGTCTGTAGTATGAAGTAAAATAAAATTATGATTTATAATATTTGATCAAAATGGATTATAGAGTAGTAATACAGTAATGATAGATTATATTTTATGTATGTTTATAAAAATTTATTTATAATTTTTATGATTATAATGCATTTTGTATAAGTAATAAATGAATAAATCTGAAATCAAAACGAAAATTACCAATGATATAGACAAAGTTGTATTTATACCAAAGTTTTTAAAATTTATTAATAATAATTATAAAACGACATTAAAACGCACCTGTTTGCACTCGTGATCGTATGTTAAAAATAATTTGAAGTTCGTGTTACATTGATAAGCATTTAATTAACAAAAAAAAAATCATAATAAACTGATAAGGTATAAAACAGTGCACAAACGAGTGATAATGGTGTAACATCAAAAGAAAATGTTTGAATGTCGACAAAAATTTGATAAATTTACGTTTATGTCAATGGAAAATTAATACTAATCTATCATAAACAATTCAAAGGTGGAAAATTCTTTGAAAAAAAGGAAAACATCAATTGTAAGTAATTGTAATATAAGTAACAAAGAAGACTTATCGTGAAGTGTGCTTTATACCTTTTATGATTTTTGGATTATTTACTTGGTTCAATTTTTTGTTGCATAGTGGACGTTTCGAAATACAATTATCGAGTGTCAATAAATAGTTGAAAAGATTCTCTGAGTTTTACACAAAGTAAGAACAATTTAGATTAGTAGCATATAAGGATTTCAATCAAATTTACAAATGAAATTGGACATATTATCATAAAAATATCAGAGCAAATAATAGTAAAGTAAAAATATTATATGAAAGATCTAAGTAATGTGCATCCTAATGAAAATAACAAAAATATAATAAATATTGAGTTCTTTGAGTTGAAATATAAATTAATAAAATTATTATTAAGTTTGATTAGTTCACACATAAAATGTGTTGTTATAATTGTTATAATTTTCACTTACTGTATTATTTTGTAGGTAAAGGAATATTTAATCAGTAAGTTTTATAATTGGTCATACTTGTGTTAAATTAATTAAATAATTCGTGTCCTGTAAATTGTAATATTGCATACGATATGTATTTACACATGGATAATTAGAGAACTTCTTTTTAACGGAATCCGGGTCTATTGTAGACGTAAATTTTATCTAATTAAAGTTATTCTAGAAATGATGTTAAGATTTTAAGATTTTAAGATCCGTTTAAAGCAATTTTTATAATCTTTCTATTTGTATTGTGTGAATTGCTTTTATAAACAGTGCGAGTAAAATTACTTAATTCTTACCTCTCTGTTTTACATGATTCCATGTAATTAAAAACTATTAAAATATATGAATACGAATATTTAATAAGTGAAAGGAAAAAAAGAAAAAGAAAAAGAATTTTAAATTGCATGTATGTAAATTACGTAAAATTTATATTAAATTGTGTTGTATACTATAATATTTTTTCTATTTCATATGTTATTACAGAGGTACTATAATTAATTTTGATATTCATATTTATGAGTGTTTGATAGTTTCGTATGAATTTTAATTTAATTAGTATTAAATTGTATTTAATTAAAAAAAGTATTTGTTTAAAGGTTATAACAAATTTATTAGAGTTTAAACAAACGCGATTTAATAACATTATTTTTATAATATTATATAAGTTGTTTTTCTTTTAAATTTAAGTTGAGCGATTATAGCAATCATTTTAAACAAATTGTTTTTCATCATTATAATGTTTTCGATTATTATGTATATGTTATCCGAAATTATTCGCTCTTAAATTATATTATACATATATATATATATATATACGTATTCAGAATGAAATGGAAAACTGTAATACAGAAAATTATAAAAATTTTAAAGTTATGATTCTATTAGATAGACATATATAGTTTCAATATTATAATAGATCATCTGTTTTCTTAGCCATTATTAAATTTAATGTTATTTAATTATGCACATTCAGAGGAGCAATGAATTTATATATACAATTATATTATAATAAATAAAAGCTTTGCAGTATTAGAGAAACATGATTACAAAAATAGAAATGATGGATAATGCACAAATTTAATAAACGTCGGTTATGCTGCAGTTTTAAATTAGAAATGCCTTGAAGCAGGTATTAATTTTTATCAGTAATAGCGAAAACGAATAAATTTCATTAATTTATTTGATATTGAAATTCAGCATTGCAATAATAAATGTCCAACGAATGAATTAAGTATGCGTATCTATTGTCAGGATTACCGAATTCGTCAACCCGCGCATTCAACGATTGAGAGATGCTGTCAGTGGCAAAGAAATCGCGAGTTAATAGTCGATTGGTCTTAACATTAGCAGCTGGTTTGGTTTGTGGATTCCTTTCGGCATGTCTTCTCATCAATGTAACGAGGGATATGTCCCATATGATTTACTGGTTTCCGAGTGTTTCCCATCGAGATCCTCATCACTATTCTCAGCTGGAGAGAGAGGTAAGACGAAAGATCCTTTTTGAATGTGCACATTACACGACTTTGTTTGCCTTCCTTCGTCAACAAAACAGTTTATTACGACACACGAGGCGTCAATGTTTACGCAATTATTATTTCAAGTTGGAAAACATTACATGATAGAGGCAACTTTTATAAACAAAAAAATCTTATCTGTCTGTCGCTCGTTAAAGAATCGGCTCTAAATAGTAAACAGCTCGATTGTAAAATATTAAATTCTTTCGGGATTAAGAAAATTTGTGGAAAGCGCATGCTCACAATTAATTTAATACAAATATATTTTAAAATAAAAACTATGAAGATATTTTTTAAATTTATTAATGAACTTACGGATAAGTAGTATCTAAGAAGATTTACATTTTTCAATCCATGCATAGATAAAATTTGGATGTTTTTACTTTTTGTTTTTTAAGCTGTCGAAGGCCTTAAGTTCAATTAATTATATCGATCACTTAATATTTTCAAAGATAATGTAGGAAGGTCTATGACAATAATAAGAATCTCCGATTTCTTATTGATAGTACGTTTTGTTATAATCCGTAGGTTAATTTTAAACGCTAAATTAATATTATTTCAGGCTGGACCGAGTGTCGAGGTCTCGTTCCATGGGGCCGATGAAGATTTTCACAAGGGCGAGGACAAGCTAGCTCTAGAACTAGCCCAGAAGGTGCGAGTTCTCTGCTGGATTATGACAGGTCCAAAAAATCATCAAACCAAAGCGAGACACGTGAAGGCGACATGGGGAAAACGCTGTAACATCCTATTATTCATGAGTTCCGAAGCAGGTAATTATGTGCAGTTAGCACTGTTAGAAAGAAAAATATTTTACTAAATAAATTAATAAGCAATGATATTTCTGAATGTAATTTTTGTTTGCTAATTGTTATCATTTACCTGCGGTGCTTTCTTCATTATATCGATGAACTTAAGTAATAAGGATTGCTTCATTTTTAATTTTATCGAAATTAATTTTTTATTAGACTAGAAATTAATTTGCAATAAAGGCACACGTAAAAATAGATTCATTTACTTCCCATATTGCATGTGCTATTTAAAGGAAAGTTAGTACTTGTGTGCGTTTATTTCAAATTCATAGATTATTTATTTTAACCTGTTTAAAGTGCCGTTTTAAAGAAAGAACATTCGCTTGTAAATGTGAAAATAAGAACGGAAATCTATATTCTTTTTCATTTTTTATTTTTATTCATGATAACTGATGCTATCTATGATTCATATGAATGTAATTATCTGCTTTGATTTCGTTTGCATGAAGTGGACTGACGTGTCACGACGAACATTAATTAAATAAATACTGACAATTACATTAGAGTATGTTTAATGTATGTAATATTAATACGATACATAATATATTCATAAATATTATTATATCTTTATAAAGAGCCTTTGGTTTAATATTATCTCATCGTTTAATGATAATGACTTAATTCGTCAGTTATTGTGATGGAATCGTGGTTGTTTTTTCTTTTTTTTTTTTTTGTCCAAAGCTGCCTTCGTCAATGCTTATAAACTAGTAAATTTGCATCTTGCAGATCCTAGTCTACCAACTGTGGTATTACCAGTAAAAGAGGGTAGAGATAATCTCTGGGCGAAAACCAAAGAAGCATTCAAATATACGTATGAAAAATACAAAGATAAAGCCGACTGGTTTCTGAAAGCTGACGATGATACGTAAGAATAACAATGAGTTTATTTTTAAATAATCTTTTATTCAATAAAAATATAAAGAGAACGAGGAAAGTAACGAATAAACGCTTGTATTAAATAGCATGAATGCATAAAAGTTATTTTAAATACTTTTGCGTCGATTGCGACTTATTATTAGTTGATACTAATAAAGTTTGAAAATATTTTCCACAATGAAATTGCTTGTCTCTAATAAGAATACTCTAGTAATTAGGCTCCGTACGATAGAATTTTATCATTTAATTTATTAGTAAGAGTTTAATGATGCCTTAGAAAGTACAATTCGGCTTAGAATTGAATTGGCACAACTTTTTTCAATAAGCCTAGGTGGGCGAAGTAATGTAAGAAAACAGAATGAATATCGTATAAATAAAGTGTGGGTATAAGTTGCGCAGTAAGACCCGTTTTTGTCGCAGGTTTGTCATTGTGGAGAACCTGCGCTACATGTTGTCGGCTCATTCACCCTCGGAGCCACTGTACTTCGGTTGTCGCTTTAAGCCGTTCGTGAAACAGGGTTACATGAGCGGCGGCGCTGGCTACGTCCTTAGCAGGGCGAGCCTCGCGAGGTTAGTGGAGATCGGCCTGCCGAACCGCACTCTCTGTCGCCAAGACGCTGGGGGCTCCGAGGACGTGGAGATGGGCAAATGCCTCGAACGCCTAGGCGTCCGAGCTATGGACACGCGCGACCCCCACGGACGAGGCCGTTTTTTCCCCTTCGTGCCGGAGCACCATCTTATACCCAACCACGTCGACAAGGATTTCTGGTACTGGAAGTACATCTACTATGAGACGAAGGACGGCTTCGATTGCTGCTCTGATAGCGCCGTCTCCTTTCACTACGTCAGCCCCAACATGATGTATGTCCTTGAGTACCTCATCTATCACCTGCGACCCTATGGTATAAGCCACAAGGTCGAGGAGATCAACTCGGGCAGCACCGGCAGGCGCCTCATCAACCGATGACGATTCTGCTTATACAAGACCTTCCGTTAAGCCCTATCTATTTGTCCTCCATTGCGTTTAATCGTAACAGAGGCTTTCGATACCTAGTCCGCCGAACGACTCCGCGACCGTCGCTTTCATTTTGCGTTGCCATTGGCGCGATTCGCTTCAGGAAATATCGTCGCCACTAAAGCGAGCCTTGCGATCTCTTTTGGCCTGCCCCGTTCATTATATAAATCGAAACTTATTTAAAGGTTTTAATTAGATCACCCCTTGGCAAAGAAATTGTTCATGATATTTGTAAAGATTTTTTTGCTTTTTTTATTTATTTATTTTTTTTTTTTTTTTAGCGAAAGATCCGTTCAAGGGTTGCGCGCATTTTTTACATAGTTTAAGCGTATGCGTTTCATCGATTAATAAATAGATAATGAAGATTTTTAAAAAGCCCTAGGATAGCGGCGATTAATTAGCTGTAAGACATTTTAAATCTGAGGTCAATTCCGTTGACAAGGATTACGTATCCAATTCTCGTAGATACATTGATTGATTACGAAATTATAAAAATTTAACAGTGTTATCATACTTGAGGTTCGGCATTTAATAAGATGAAAATTTTTATAATCTTCTAGGTGATTGCATCTAGTCTGCATCTCTGTGTACTCTAGTGTAAATTGTATTGTCGGCTGTACAATGATGGTTTTCAGATTTTTACGATTACATGCAATAGAATATGATAGAAATTAGTTATTATATAACGTGCTAATGCGTAGGTATAAGTACAATATAACTATATTGTATTTTAATTTAATTCCTTAGTATTCCTTAGACATAGTGAGTAAAGCGAGACTCGCTAATGACTTGATCCATGATTGTATTGTACTTAAGAGTCAGATGGATTGTATCATATATTTTTTTTTTTTTTTATACCAACCATCTTCTAAATCAAGATCCGATAACGCAGAAAACATGACTGATTATCTAAGAAGTTTTTTAATAACATCAATACACGTTATTTTAAAAGCAACCGAATTTATATATTATAAACTTCAATATTGAACATGTCATATACATATATATGCATATATACACACACACACACACACACACACACACACATGCTTTGTCTGTGAATTATTTTCCATTGTAAACATTCTGATTTTTATAGCAATATGAAGAATCAAAATCCCAAATTTATTGACACCACGACATACCGTGCACATATTACCATTGACCAATTTTATATAAGAGCTACACTATATGAATATATGATATTAGTTTTTCGTATTTTATCGATGCACGTATTAAGTGGGAGCGCCACTCTAGCATTTTCAAAAATAACTAGATTTACTACACGTGCCATTATTTTCTAACAATTCTACGAAAATATGAAAAGAAATTTTTTTTTATTATTACATGATTATTATTATTTATATTATTATATCTACATTGTAATATGTAAGATAAGTTCTTTTTTTTTTTTCTTTTGTGTATATAATGTAGAGCACAAAAACTGTTTCCGTAGCTTCTTTTAAAATAATAATGCTTGAGCTGTGAACGACAAAGCACTTTCCACGAAAGGTATTGCATTTATCGAAGTGTGTAAAAATATATATATTTGAAAGGAGACGTATATTTTGGGCTTATCACATGCCCTGTAACAGTATCACGATTCACCGGTAATGGGAAAGAAACGGTATTTCTAGCTTTTTTACTTTTATTTTTACTAGCTTTAGTAATATCTAATGATTATTAAATAATGACAGTCTAACATATAGGGAAACAGATAGGAGAGCAAAAGGTTCTAGTTTTAATTAAAATTATCTTTATTACTTATATTCATATATTCGGCCTTTACAATAGTTTATAATAATTTAATTTTTTCCTAGTCATTTATGAAGTTATTTTTTAGCATCAGGCGTATTCATTTCAGTAAGGTAATCGACTGAATCAAAACAAAATATTTTACTTTTATGAAAAATGGAGTTCTTTACTATTAGCATGTCTGTTAAAATTAGCTAACAAAATTGTATGTTTTTTTTAGTATAGAAATGTCGAGTTACTTAATACCTTTCATATTCACATTGTGGTGCATTGTTCAGAGTACACGAAATGCAGCATCTGATAGATGCATGTAGCACGCGTCTCATACGTACTTCTGTAAGTTCAGCGAGGTCAGTTAAAAAGATAATTAGTTGCTTTTTAATTTAGCTATAATTGTAACTTTTTTGAACTATGGGAAAGACTATATAAATAATATAAATAATAATATATATCCCGTTATTAAATACAATATTAGCATGAGTTTTATTTATTATACTACAATATTATAATACAAATATTTAAGATTGTACAATCTCTATTATTATTATTTCATTGTATTATAAAACAATTTTTTTAAAAAAAAGCTAAGACTTTTTTTAAAACGTGTACTTTAAGAATATTTATTTTAGTGAAATTTTTTTAATGATAAAGAAAACTTTTAGAAGAAGCTGAATTTAACTTAAAAACTTAGTAATGTTAATGCATGCTTTGTTTACATATTATGTGTTAATGTTAAGTGGAACGCCTATTTAATTATAAATAAATTGAATATTGAAATTAATTAGGAAATATGGTTTACAATTTTAATTATCATATACATCTATGAAAATTTTTATTGATCTAGTATTGGGTATGAAAAGTAATGCTTCGGTAAATATGTTTAAAGTATTGAATAAAACTTGGTCGGATACTCTATATTCAATAATGGATTAATCAACAATGCCCATACCCCACAGCTGCTCCAAATAAAAATTTATCTGATCTGATTATCTAGTTTTGCTTGCAACATGGCTAGGCGATTATTTCTTAAATCTTATACAATATGTATTGATTTCTGTAAAGTCATTAGAATTCGAATCAAACCATATCTTATATACGAATAACTAAGACTGTTCGACCATTAAATTTTGTACACTTTAATCAATAAATTAATAATATTTTTCCTTACAATTCGTCTAACAATAATACTATACTCTATGTTGTATTTTGACATCCAATTTGCAGCTTAAAATTTTTTTATAAAAATATATCAAAGTATTTTATTTACTTCAGTGTCATAATTTTCTTTCTATTCTATATGTATCTCTATCTTAATATATATAAAAAATATTCTATATATATATCTCAAATAATTAATTTAAAATTAATAATAAATTATATATTATAAAATAGCTTCTCAGATATGACTTTTTTTCAACAGATTTTTTTACATTAAAATTACTTTCACAGCACTTCTAAGATTCTACGGTATATGTTGAGGATATAATTTTTTGAAAATTCTAGAATGGCACATATCCCTCAATGGTCTTACCTAATAGATTACAGCAGGCATCTAAGTACGTTGAAAAATATCACTCATTTCGTTTTGCAACAGATAGTCCTGATCCTTTATGTTTACGAACCTAATGTTCGAGCTCAATTTACTCCCTAATTTTATCGAACTGATTTATCACCCTTAATACACTCT